GCTTGATTGGCCAGCAAACTCACCAGACCTGAACCTCATAGAGAATCTATGGGGTATTGTCAAGAGGAAAATGAGAAACAAGAGACCAAAAAATGCAGATGAGCTGAAGGCCACTGTCAAAGAAACCTGGGCTTCCATACCACCTCAGCAGTGCCACAAACTGATCACCTCCATGCCACGCCGAATTGAGGCAGTAATTAAAGCAAAAGGAGCCCCTACCAAGTATTGAGTACATGTACAGTAAATGAACATACTTTCCAGAAGGCCAACAATTCACTAAAAATGTTTTTTTTATTGGTCTTATGAAGTATTCTAATTTGTTGGGATAGTGAATTGGTGGGTTTTTGTTAAATGTGAGCCAAAATCATCACAATTAAAAGAACCAAAGACTTAAACTACTTCAGTCTGTGTGCATTGAATTTATTTAATACACGAGTTTCACAATTTGTTTTGAATTACTGAAATAAATTAATAACTAATTTATTGAGATGCACCTGTACATTGCAAATTCTTATGTGAAAGATGACTGAACAATAAAATGTACGATATGCTGTGGTCTACAATAAATATTAGTTAATTCATAGGTTTAAACAATGTTTAGCCTTGAAGGTCTCACATTCAAATTACAAGCTCACATCGTGTCTTCTGAGCATTGTGACAAAAAGCATTTTCATTCTGGTCACAATTTTATTGTAAGTCAAATCTAACAATTGATAATATACTTATATAAATATAAGTTAATATACAATGTGAATAAATCGGGTATAATATTATAAAATGGCCTATAACGTGATATTAAACCTAATTAACATAATACAAAATATACCCCCGTTACTGACAGCTTTCGAAATAAAAGTTACTTTTGTTTTTATATAATGCTTGATTTAATAAAAAATAATGAATTAGGTTACTAAAATTACTTAAGTAAATTTTTGCAGAGCTCCGCAGGGGCTCAAATGTAAAATGGGGGCAATTAAAAAAAAAAAACTATAGGTCAAACGTTTGGATACATTACTATTTTATATTTTTGCAAGTCACTTATGGTCATCAAGCCTGCATTTATTTGATCAAAATTTTAATATACTTTAAAATATATTTTATGCAGTGTTGATTTATTATCAATGTTGGAAACGTGATACTTTTTTCAGGATTCTTTGATGAATAAAAAGTAAAAAAAAAAGAACAGCATTTATTTAAAATATAGCTTTTGTAACAATATAAATTTGTTTTTATTCAGCAAGGATTTGTTAAATTAATAGAAACAGTGATAGTAAATATTTATATTGTTAGAAAACATCTCTATTTTGAACAAATGCTGTTCTTTTTTTAACTTTTTATTCATCAACGAACCCCAAAAAAAGTATAAAAAAATAATAATTAAGCAGCACAATTGTTTCAAACATTAATATTAAATCAGCATATTAGAATGAGTTCTGAAGGATCATGCACTGAAGACTGGAGTAGGCTAATGATGCTGAAAATTCAGCTTTGCATCAGAAATTATATTTTAAAGTATATTTAAAAAAAAAACACTTTTAAATTGTAATAATATTTCACAATATTACATTTTTTTCCGTATTTTTGATCAAATAAATGCATGCTTGATGAGCATAAGGCACATTCATAATGCTGCATAATTATCAAAAATGGTAATATGATAAAGTCCTTTCACGTCACCATTTCGCCAGCCTGCACTTCACATAATAGGCCTGTAGGTGGCACTTGGGCTTCATTAATTATGATAGTTAAGCTTCATAAAATAGTAAACGGTGTAGCCCAGGGTTCCTCAAATCTTGCCCCGGAGGGCCAATGCGCTGCAGAGTTTAGCTCCAACCCTGATCAAACTCAGCTACCTGTGATTTTCTAATGATCCTGAAGACATTGATTAGCTTGCTCAGGTGTGTTTGATTAGGGTTAGAGTTAACTCTGCAGGAAAGTGGATCTCGTGGGCCAGATTTGAGGATCCCTGGTGTAGGGTTGCATTCGCACCGAGAGCGAGTACTACGAAGTGACGTAAGCTGGTCGACAGCGACGTCATTTGTGCGCGGCGTTCAACAACAGAAACAAAGAAGAACAACAGAAACAACAGCAGGATGGAGGACGCTGTGTTCGGAGCTGTGTGTTTGTTGTGTCTCGCGGGTTTCACAATAATGGACATGGAATGTAGACGTATACGTAAAGCGACGGAAAGGAGGATTAAGAATCTCCCACGACAACTGGCAGTGCTACATTTGCTACAAATGCCTGCACTTCAGCGTCGGTCCATCTATCGCTGTTCTCCATACCTGCGAAATAAGTTGACATGCTTACAGTATGTTTACACGGAGTTTTAAATCATGGCGGGTGAGGGCGTTTTTATACGCGTTTGGCCAATCAATGTCTACTTACGTCACGATTAGTACCAGTTTTGCTGGTTAGACGCTGCTCCGGAGTAGGAGCTAATTTGGTTCTCGAAAAAGTTCGTTATTTCACCTGTACAAGTTGTTCAACTTGTTTTGTTGGAAGCCATAATATGGTAATGATAGCCTTGTTAATTGCCTGTTACAGACAGTCATGCTCAATTTTTTAGAAGGAAGTTGTTTGTCAGGTCTTATGATCCACAAAGAACAAGTGAACCTGTCAATTACTGTGATACCACAAATAAAGGCATTCCCAAAAGAGGTGTGTTAGACAGTTAGAGCTAGATGATGTATACAGTACTTCAGTATATTACACCCTTTTATTGGTATTAATTGTGGATATAACAAAACACCCTGATGTTACAATTGAAGAACCAGTTAACATGTTCCATTTGAATGTGAACGCAGTCGTTTTGTGTACTCTGTGAGAAACTCTTTATGGGCATGTTTGTGTCTGTCTGTGTATCCTCCCTGAAGAGATGGACTTTGCTTTTGATTTTGGGATCGCATTTAATGTGTTGTCCTTGTTAAAGTTTACAGAAAGGTTTTATCGCCAGCTGGTTATCAATAAATTACCCCAAAAGTAATAAACTTTGGACTACCATATGCTGGCTCTAAGTTCTCTGAATACGTATTTGAAATGCATTTAAACAGATAGTAGTATTCTATGCTTCATAGAAAACAATTTCTTACGTGTTTATCAACATTTTTAAAAGCCTTTTGGATTTGATTAGTTATTTTCATTTTTGAGTGAACTATCACTTTAAAAGTTTCTGCAGTTTGATAAATAAATGCTTATTCTCATAAAAAAAAAGTTCACTACGATTATGCACATTCAAAATATTCTTGTCTAAATGGTAGCATGTGATTTTTGGTCTGTATCATTTATTTTTCAGAATAATCACGGTTTGTCTCTTGTAGGTGAGGATGGGACACTGGCTGACACTCTCTATAAGCATGTACGCATTTTGTGTTGGGTCATGACCGGCCCTAATAACCTTGAGAAGAAAGCTCGGCATGTGAAAGCCACATGGAGTCGCCACTGCAACATTGTGGTCTTCATAAGCTCTGTGGATGACCCTGATTTTCCTACGGTTGGCCTAAACACCAAGGAAGGTCGGGATCAGCTGTACTGGAAAACCATTCGTGCTTTCCACTACGTCATGGACAAGCACGGGGACGAGGCAGACTGGTTTCTCAAAGCGGATGACGACACTTACGTGATCGTCGACAACCTGCGCTGGATTCTGGCCAGCCACTCTCCAGAGGACCCGGTGTATTTTGGCAGACGGTTTAAGCCATACGTAAAACAGGGCTACATGAGTGGTGGCGCAGGTTATGTGCTAAGCAAAGAGGCCCTGAGGAGGTTTGTGGAAGGCTTTCGTACCAAAGTGTGCACTCACACTAGCTCAGTGGAGGACCTAGCTCTAGGTCAGTGTATGGAGAAGGTAGGCGTTGTGGCAGGAGACTCCAGAGACACCTTACAAAGAGAGACATTCCATCCTTTCGTACCAGAGTCCCATCTCACTGGCACAGTTTCTAAGACCTTCTGGTATTGGAACTACTGTTATTACCCCATTGTGCAGGTGAGTCCGAATTCAGTGAAGATTGCCTGATATCTATTCTAAAACCTAGTAAGCTGCCTACCTAGACGGCATCATAGGCTCCAGTAGTCTCCTTCATCAAAATATATATATATATATATATATATATAAAAATATTTTTCTTGGAGCATAATGTAT